TCTCCTTTGGGCCTGTTTACCGCCCCTCAGTGTTATCTGTTCTCTTGTTCCTCCGTATCCCACCTTTCCCAATTGCGAGGTCACTGTTTTGTTTCCATAAATGCCTTCTCCCCCTCTCCTCCTCCTGTGAACATGGCATGTAAGCCTAAAAGCTAACCACCTCCTGGAGTCACATTTTTCTGGGAATTCCTAATGTACATGCACGGATATTAAAAAGTCTGTTTTTCTCTTGCTAATCTTTTATCCGTTTAATTTCCAGGTTCCCAATCACTACACGTAAAAGGTAGAGAAAAAATTTTCCTTCCTAACAGCAGCTTGATGGAAACCTTGGCTACCTGTGTTGGAGACAAAACACCCAGGCCAGACAAGTGAGGGAGCAATCACCTGTGGAAAAGCAGAAGTACTAAAGGATGAAAATCAAAAGGCAAGAACTAGATTCCGATACACTCAGGGAAGAGTCCTCACCCACGCACTCTCAACAGGGCCCATGCCTTACTCAGCATCAAGTGGCTTCAAATTAATCTTGGAGATGGTGTTTTCCTTCTTTTAATTAGCCCAAAGGTTAATGTTGTAATCATTAAATAGTCATTCAAGAAAACCAGAAAATCACAAACGCTTGGAGCTGAAACATGCAGCCTATTCACACAATGTGAACGTTCACAGCTCAGCCTTACCAGTAATTAAAGAAATGATGCCCTTAAAATTCTGTTTCCCCATTAAATTGGCACAGATATTTTAAAAAGTCAGTTTACACCTCTGACCAGAACGCAGGGAAATGGGAACCATACTCCGAGTGTGAACTGAAGGGCATTCAGCATGTACCATCACACTCCCTGAAGGGGGATACATGCCATATGGAACTCGCTCCAGTCGGGCGCTTCCGGGACATCCTGGCCCCGATACCCAAAGAAACGGAAGCCTGATGCTCAAGAGATACCAAGGCCGGAGAGAAAGATCTGCTTCCAGGAGGACACGGAATCGGCTTCTCCAGCAACATTTAAGGACAAGGAGGAGTACTGAGGTGACTGATTCCAAACAGCATGCCCAGTTAGGTGAGAGGAAAAACAATGCTTCTATGCCCCCTAAAGAGAAAAATCTGAACAGATAGGAAGCAAAATGTTAAAAGTACAGCTGGTGTAAAATCTGGGGATTTTAATATTCTTCTGTAAGTTTTTAACAGAACCTTATTCATTCAACTAATATACTGTACAGTTTAAATGCCTGAGTGTTTTCTTCAGGCCTGGATAAGTATATGCCATGTTCCACAGCTTAACAATTTTTGTTCATCAAGTTGTTTGTTTAACCAAGGCCTCATTTCACAGACAAGGAAACGCTGACAGCCCGAGAGAGCGAGCGACTTGCTGGAGGTCGCAGAGTGAGCCCTCACAGCCCCTGGAGTGCAGCCTGGAGCTCTGGCGAGCAACAGAAAGAGATTTGGTTTGCACCCAAGGTTCCTGAAGTACGTGCTTTCCAAGGGGAGGAAGCTCCCTAAATACAACCACAAACGTGTGCTTGATCATACGCCTCAATGACATTTAACCAAAAAGTTCGAGACAAAGTATAGTTTCCTTTCTCAATAAATCTAAGAACTTTTTGCTTTTTCCAAAAAAGAAAGAAAAAAGTATACTGCATATTTTCCTAATTATTAAAAAGATAAATCTACCAGCTACTGACTACTAGTTTTTCATGCAATCCACCACTCCAACCTGCACATGTCTGAATATAAACTTATGTATATCTGAAAACTTGCCAACCTCTTGTAATTTACTCCCTTATCACAGGATATAACAATAGCAAAGTCATAATTTCTTCAAGTTTACTGAATCCATAGTATGCACTTAATAAAATATCCCATTGTCCTTTCTTGTGGATATTGAATTATTAAAAGACCCCAATGGAACAACAAAATGAGATATGAATTCTTTAAAGAAGGACATTGTTTCCATTAGTTATATCAGATAGAAAGTTTTTAACCTGTAATTCAGTAAATCAATTATTGGCTGTAAACCAATCTCTGACATGAATTAGATTTGCAAAACATGTAACCTTTACTTGACCTATATTTCATTTTTTAAATGGGGCCCCAGCACAATCTGTGTGATCAGTAAGTAGATTACCACAAACAGTATCCCTTCTACTTGTCAGATATTATAAATGATCAGCCTGGTGGATACAGAAAGCAAACAGCTATTGGTCTAACCTTTCAGGAGATTGGGGCCCATCTTCTGAAAGCCTGATCTATCATTTTTACTTTACAGCTTTCCGTATCACGGTACCCATTTCTGTACCCTTGACGATGATGTGGCTATAAATGCACCTACAAAAACCTTACGAACGTAATAGCTTCCATGTGTATTTACTTTGATAGCCTTGCCTGCCTCCAGCCTTGGGAAGGCAAAGAGCTGCGGTCTTTTCTAAGGATTGCCCTGCTCTGTTTTAGAGAAAAGCCATCTCCCAGTCACACGCAATGCACGCAGCCTCCTCATCCATCATTTGCCACCCTGACAAATCTGAACATTAGGTGAATTTTCAAAGGAATAGAGTCTTGTCACTAAGAGTTCTAGTGCTGGGGCAGGCAGAACTGAATTTGAAGAGCCACTCAGCCGCTTACTGGGTGTGTGGCCTTAGGTAACTTTCGTTTCAGTCTCCTCCACTGTAAGATGCAGATAAAGGTACCTGGATTGTTGGAAGATAATGCACACTTGAGTCCAGTGTCCGGCATCCAGCAAGTGCTGGATAAACCAATGTTGCTCAACACTATTAATAAGATATTTTTTCAGGCATAACGGATAACACAACCAGCATTTACAAAAGGAAAGGATCCTTTTGTAATTTCCTCCCTAATTTCTCAAAACAGAGACCCACTGATCTTGCCCTGTAGACCAGGAAAGAATGAAAAGAACTTCCCGATGCCCTCCTTCCAGAACTCAGGCAAACACTGTGCTCCCGAGGTCCCTGCCTCAGCTGTTTTTGGGGCTGGCAATGGTTACTTCCTGGGATCCAACAGACTGGTTTGCAAGTAGACTTCTGCAACCCAGCTCCTTCATGAGTCCTGTTTAACGTTCAACATGAATTTGGGGTTTTCTAGACCTTTAACCTTAATATCTTAATATTTTCTACTTCAGAACCTAAGCTCATGGAGAACATGTTTTTGTTTAATGTTTTGATAACCTGGAAGCACAGGAATGCCTAGAAAATCAGCTGGTGGATAAATCCTTTCAGGTAGGCTAGAAGAATCTGCCTTCCCAGTTAGGAGTTGTAAATCTCCCCTGGCTAGAAAATCCCAGAATGGCCTAGCAGAAAAGACCACGAACCCGGACCTCAGGGCACACGCAGAAACCTTGAAAAAGGGTGGGAAGGGTCCTCTCCCACAGCAATCCAACGCCCTCCCTGATGGAAGGGTGAGAAGTGAAAGGAGGCCTGACAATAGAAAACAGCTGCTTCCCCCGCCCCCGCCAGGGGTGGTGTTTGGTGGTCTGCCCTGCCATCGGCGGAGCACCTGGTTACCAGGTTGCCTCTGTAGAAACAAAAACTGCTTGCACTATACCTGGCAATAGCGGCTACAAAGTTTCTTAGAGGCACACACACACATGTAATCGCAAACAGGTAAAACTATCTCAGTTACCTAAAAGAGCATGTTAAAACGCATCAGGGCGATGATGTTTTGTTGGCAAGGAGACTCTGGTCTTGGTAATGGTTTTCTTTCTACTTTCCTGTTATTTTCCAATTTTCTAACAGCTCAAAAAAAGTATTTAAAAGTGTAGAAACAAGTTCAGGCCGGCGCCGCGGCTCACTAGGCTAATCCTCCACCTTGCGGCGCTGGCACACCAGGTTCTAGTCCCGGTCGGGGCACCAGATTCTGTCCCGGTTGCCCCTCTTCCGGTCCAGCTCTCTGCTGTGGCCAGGGAAGTGCAGTGGAGGATGGCCCAAGTTCTTGGGCCCTGCACCCCATGGGAGACCAGGAGAAGCACCTGGCTCCTGGCTTCGGATCAGTGCAATGCGCAGGGCGCAGCGCGCCAGCCGCAGAGGCCATTGAGGGGTGAACCAACGGCAAAAGGAAGACCTTTCTCTCTGTCTCTCTCTCTCACTGTCCACTCTGCCTGTCAAAAAACAAACAAAACAAGTTCATTAAACTTCATCACAGGTTACTTTTTAACAAAAAGGAACAACAAGTACTCAAAGTTTGTTGATTTTCAAAGCAAATAATGAATGACCTGTCCTACCAAAGACCTGATGACAAAGGTTGATAAGTAACGAGGAAGAAGGTTCCAAATGTTCATCTGGGTAGGCTGCCCTAGACCCTGCTCTGCGTGTCCAGTCCACCTGCCTTTCTTTTTTCTGTTAAACATTCTGGTGAATCACAAAGGTTTGGGAACTTGGAGGGCAAGGTGTGAGGACAGAGGAACAGCTGGAAATCAGGTGGGGACACCAAACCCAATCCTCTCCTCGCAACTGCTTCGACAGCCTGCAGCCCGGCTCGGTTCACCGTGCAGGCGCCTCTGGGCTCTCCCCTAGGCTGCCCCCCCCGGGGGGGGGGCGGTTGGCGCGCGGGCACAGGGAGCTTCCCGCCCCGGCACTCGCACCGCTCGGCCCCCGTTCCTTTGACTGGGATTGCAGCATTGCGAGAGGCGATCGAGAATTCCTAGCTTCAAAAGAGGCTCCCTGGACACGGCATGGAAGCTTCCCGTACTCCTACAGAACACCGGTGACAGTGGGGGTCTTGGGGACCCGGGGGTATGGAGAAGTGGCCTTAAGCTTGGTCATTTACCCAAAGGGAAAAGTAGGGGGCGTCTGGCCAGTCCAAAGCGGCACCGACCCTCACAGAAGCGGCTTCTGGAAGGGCCCTCAACGAGGAGAATCCTAGCCCCAGCCGCACACCTGCCGGGGTCGCTGGCTCTGCAGGGCCCACCCACCCAGCCACCCAAGGCCTCCGCGTTACACAGGTGCAACGGGGCTCGGCCCGACCCTGGCGGGCTCTGCGTGGTGCGGAGCCAGGTTACCTTGGTGCCCTGGTGGAAGTCGTCCACCGACCGCGAGCCCATGAAGGGGAACTGCATGTGAGTGTGCGTGTCGATGCCCCCGGGCAGCACGAGCTTTCCCGCGGCGTCGAGGACCCGCAGCCCCGCGGGCGCGGCCCCGGGCGGCAGCAGGTCGTGCCCGAGCGCCCGCACCACGCCGTCCTCCACCAGCACGTCGGCCACCTGCGAGGCGTCGTCGTTGACCACGCGCCCACCGCGGATCAGGAGGCGCCCTGGAGCGGCCATGGCGAGGTAGCGGTCCCCACGCACAGGACAAGGCCCAGGCCCCCGCCTCTGCTACCTACAGCTGCGAATCTGGAGCCCCCGGGCCCCCTCGGCGGCTTTAAAGGGGGTTAGGTGCAGACTCCACCCCCGGGGAGGGCCGGGGCGGGCGGGAGGTGGGCACGGTCCTCCCACACGGTTTGGACCCTCCCAGCTGCCTGAGCCCCTGGAAGGGAAAGGTCTTGGGATTTTTGAAAATAAAGGGTGTGGGCATTCCGTCCTAAGAGGTCTCCTTGTTTAGAGTGTGTCTGTAGGGCCCAGAGAGGGAGGAAGAGACAGGGCCACCGGCAGCCGGCACGGCAGCGGTAAAAACACGCAGAGTCGTCCCCAGCTGGGCTCGGATTTCTCTGTAGATCCAATGAGCAGTCCCTTAACCAAGGGGTCGGTTGATAAGGGATGTTTACACCATTTCGTGGTTGTGCGAACATCAGCCGCAAGGTCACTGGGTAACCCCACCGTCTTGTTGGGCCCCTGTTGTACAGGCAGCGCTCACCCTGCAGCCGTGCAGCCCAGGGTTGGATTCTCCACCTGCAAGAGGAGCCAGCGGTAACAGAGCCGGCCCAGGGAACTCGAGAGAGCCTGGGTTCTCACGGCATTGAGCCCCTGAACCCAGCCACTCCCACAGCCTTTCCCCGTTGGTCTTCCCCACTTGTTGCTTAAGCTCGCTTAGTTTGGGTCTTTTGTCACTTGCAGCAGTCACCTGAGAACGCCCCGAGAGAGACCTTCTTCAGGTCACCCATGATCTGGGAGATGGCGTTTTCAGTAGCGGGGTGCAAGGTATTATTACTGCCGGATTTGCACAAGCTTCAGATTACACCATCCTTAAAATGATTAAAAATTAGAAGGCATCAATAATTTAAAATGCCGTAGACTTGGCTGTCAAGGCAGGGACAGGAAACCCAAGAAGGTTATGCAATGATTGTCGAGTGAAAGGTGAAAGGGGTAATTATACACATAATGAAAGCCCTACCAGCTGCACAAGTCAGCACTACCCTGGGAGTAGAAGATCGGATGTCAGTGCTGTTGGGACATCCTTTCTGAAACTGTCCAGATGAATGATTTCAGAGAGTTCTTTTTCTTGGGCACTTTCTATCCTGAGGTGCCCTGCAACACAACACAAAACAAACTTCCTGCATTTAATTGCCTCAAATTGCTGTCGGAGAAAGGGCTTGTGGAATGTCACTGGGGTGGGAGGAAGTGGCTCAGGGAGAGTGGTTGAGAGCAGCAGCCGAAGAGAGAGGGGAGTAAGAGGAGGGAGAAATGCTGGCCTGCAGAAGAAAAGGGGTTTTCTGGCTGCCTAGCCGGCTCTCCTGCACACCAGCCTGCAGAGGGTGAGGCGCAGGTGGGGCAGACCGGCTCAGCCAGGGAAGGCTTGGCCTCAGTGCCTTTCACCTCTGTTTTCTTTGCCCTATTCAGCCTCCAGAAACTGGGTCCTCAATGGCCAAACACCAAGTAAGATGGGCACACAATGTTGGCACTAGGACGAAGGCAGGAAGCAAGACCGCTGCTGGTTTGCACTTTTCTTGCTGGAGAAGGAATCAGTTTGATTGACTAACATAACAAGATACATCAGAAAGCATTCTTGCTCAGAGCGGTGATTTCCAGGGAACATTTTAAAGGAGGATTACAAAGGTTCTGATGCTTAACTTATAGGAGCATGTCTGCTTTGGAGTACAGGTGAGAGTGACCTGGTAGTAAGAGCTTCCCAGCCCTGCTGAGGGTCCACGGGCACAGAAAAGCCAGAGGAGCAAGCAAGTGACTTCCTTCACGGAGTGGTTCCACTGTTTGGAAACAAGCTCGCTGGACTCAGCCTCAGTCCTTGGCCGTCCTGGAAGTGCCACATCTGCCTTCTCTATTCTCCTGGCCCAGCCCTGTCCTACTGTGGCCCTGGGGGATGGGAGACATTTGCAGGCTGTGTTTCCACCTGGTGGAAGAGCTGTCTGTGGGGCAGAGGGAGGGGATGGTGAGGGTGTGTGGGCAACACTGAGCGAGAAGTGTCGGCTGTCCCAGGACAGTGCACCTGTGCTGGGGTCTTGGCATGCTCCAATTCCCTGGCTGCTGGCCTGGCAGTGAGTTTATACCTGAGTCAGTGATGAAAGTGGGGGAAGGTAGGTAGCATGGCAGGATTGGAGGAAAATCACCTGAGGGAACTGGAATTAGGGATCTGATCCTGCTTCTGATACCGACTTCTGGTGTGAGCTGGAGCGAGTACTCATGGGCTCAGTTTCCTCAACTGAAAAGAGCAAGGCTGACAAGAGCTTGGGTGACCGATCCTTCCCACTTTTACAGTTTTGTGATTCTGGGAACAGAGAGTGTCTGGTGTATTCCTAAGATTTAAACTCTTCTTGGGTTCTGATTAGTGAATTGGAGAGCAAGTCAGACTTAGGCCTTCTAGATCCAGGACTGTCTTATTTCTAGTCTCTGCTTGGAAAGGGGGCTCCATGTGGAGAATAAAACTTGCAGTCAGCAGGGGATAATGTTTGGCAGGTGCTATGCTTAGGATGTTGTGTCCTCTCCAAAATTCATACTGAAACTCCGTCTCCGGTGCAGTAGCATTAAGGGGTGATTCGGCCACAGAGGTCTCTCCCGTGTGAATGGGATTTAGGTGATTTAAATACCATGAGGTGTAGCAGATGGGCACCACCTTGGAAGCAGGGAGTCCTCACCTGGCAGTGACCCTGCTGGCACCTTGGTCTTAAACTTGAGAACTGTGAGAAGTAGGTTTCTGTGGTTTATCAATGGTGCAGCAGCCAAATAGACTGAAACAGCAGGACTGGCCTTAAAGTCCTTGGGCTGAGGCGCAGGGACAACATTTGTATCACCGCTCTACAGTGACTTGCATGATGGGCAGGACTAGTCTCCCCTGATTCCGTAGAGCTGTTGAGGGAACTGGCTCAGTGTGCAGCTCCAGAGGGCACCCATCCCTGAAGCACCACCCCAAGACAGACGGAGAAGACGGTGCCCTGATCACACTATCAGCAGCAGTAGCTAAGGTGTATCGATTACTCACATCGTGTCAGTACAGGGCCAGATCCCTCACATGCATTATTTTACTCAGTCCTCACAACAACTCCTTGAGATAGTACTGTTTTTTCCCTTTAATAGGTGAGCCCTTTTCTGATTTCCAGTTTTTAAATTTGAGAGGTACACGTGAGCACGCACATGTGCATCCAGGCGGGTGCGTGTGCACACACACACACACACACAGAGCTGCTATCCACCGGTTCGCTCCCCAAATGCCTGCAGTGATTGGAGCTGGGCCAGGGCCGAAGCCGGAGCTGGGATCTCGGTTCCGGTGCCCTATGTGGGTAGCAGGGAATCAGTCATGGCTGTCCCCCTACCCCCAGAGTCCACATTAGCAGGAAGCTGGAGTCAGAGCCCAAGCTGGGAATTGAATCCGGGTACTCAGATGTGGGTTGTGGGTATTTTATTGCTGGGCTAAATGCCTGTACCCAGATGAGCCTTTTGAGGTCAATTGATTTGTCCCAGGTCAAACCTAGTGACCACTGGAGGTAAGGCTTCCATCCTGGAACCTGTAATTTACTCATTATATAACTCCCCACTACAAGGCCTGAATTTACTTTGGGTTTTACACATCACCAGCAACTTGACAGCACTGTTCCTGTCTCTTGTCCTGTCTCTTATTCCTGTCCCGTGGTCCAGAAGCAAAGTTAGACTTTATGGGATTTACTGCCACTTTTCCAAGAATCCTCGGATGCCTGGGCCAGGGCCACAGCTAGGGCTGGAGCAGGGGAGCAGGCGCTGTCCCCAACCCCCCCAGCAGTGTATCAAAGTTAGAGGTGTGACACGGGTAAGATTCTGATGACCCAGGTGTTGGAAGAATCATTGTAAAACGAGACTGTGGGATGCAGAGAAAGGACAGTCAAGGTATGCCCTCCCCCACTTTAAAAAAGATTTAATTATTTATTTGAAAGAGTTAACAGAGAAAGAGACAAGGGACAGAGAGATATTCCATCTGCTGATTCACTTCTCAAATGGCCACAATGGCCAGGGCTGGGCCAAGCCTAAGCCAGGAGCCAAGAGCAGCTTCCTGTGGGTACAGGGACCCAGGCGCTTGGGCCATCTTCCACCGCTTTCCCAGGCACTTTAGCCAGGAGCTGGATTGGAAGTGGAGCAGCTGCACCAATCTGTGAACTTCTGGAGAAGAAAAACTGTATCATTTATATCTTTGTATTCAAAGCGCTATTACAACAAAAGTATACATGTGTCACAACATCACATGATACTTCATAAATATGTATAATTTCATGTGCCAATTAAAAACTAAATAAATGACTCAGACCTTACAAAAAAGACCTGTTACAGAGAACTGCAGCGCAAGAGACAAGCTCACCAACTTTTCATTCTTTCACATGACTGCGTGGAACTCTATGGTAGGACTTCCCTATTTGGTCCGTATTAATAAGGACACAGATAGAAGTCTCTTTAAAACTGCTTTGAAGCCTCAAACTCCACTTTCTCATCACTTACTTCTCAGTTTGTACCTTTCAACTTCAAGGAAGTTCATTTGATAAGATAAACAAGTTACTGAACTAATTGAGCTGCAACATAAATAATTGCAATATCAAAAAAAACCACTAGGTGTCCTCTTGAAAAGACCAACTGATTTACTCAGAAATTTGTCATCAAAAACAGGTCGATCCCCAGTGACTTTGTAGCACTACTGAAAGATAGTTATCCTTTCTTCAAAACTGAGAGAAAATTGGCTGCTTTCATCATTTTCTTAACTATGTCTAATGCATTCTTATGGAACCTCTAAGTTCCAAGTACATCTGCACACAAGTATTATAAAATTATGACTTTCTAGATTTATACAATGTATTCTTCACATTAAGCAAATTTTTCATGTTATGACAAAGAATATGATTATTCACTTTAAAAGGTTTAATAATGAGAGTTTTTTTAAAGATTCATTTATTTGAAAGAGTTACACAGAGAGAGGAGAGGGAGAGAGAGAGAGAGAGAGTTCTTCCAACCGATGGTTCACTCCCAAAATGGCTACAATGGCTTTAGCTGCACCG